ATTTCAAAACATTTTTTTGTCCATCTATGACCATACCAACCAATATTGTTGCTTTGTTGGACCATCGATTAACATTCTGTCAAAAAACAGCTCAAGTTATTTGACTTTTTAATTGCTTACAGTATAGGTATTGGTATGGAGTAGAATTTTTTCAATTTTTTCTACCTTAACGTGCATCCGCGCTAAATTTGAACGCGATTTGTTTGAGTCATATGCCGTAGGCAAAATCCAAGAATGAAAATAAATCACGAACATTGAGAAGAAAATAGAAAATAAGTCTGTTACCCCATTTAATGAAATTGATAACGTATCAAATAGAACTTACACTTTGAATAACCTATGTGAACGTGTGTGCATGTGCATGGCGATACGAAGGTAGGCATCCTCCAAGCAAAACGCATCGATTTCTACAAAGAACAGCTGATAAATAAATTTAACGCATTTATCAAATACGTTGATATCCATTTTATCACCATTGAACAGGAGTCAAATGTAATGTTACGGCGGTGCAAGCGTGTCATATGCATAGCCAACCGTATCGCGGACAACGTATCGACTAAATGATATAAATTAATGAAGTAATTGAACAATTAGTTCTGTATGGACCACAGAGCTTTTGGAACTAAGAACATAGACTTGAATCGTATTATATTATTCAAAAAATCATGCAATTTTCTATGAAAAGAAATCGCGTTGCGATACTAGCTAATTTCTTGCGGAATGGACTTCCTTTTGATCACATCACGAACATAGTTGTATATATATAGAACTAATGGGGTCAATGGTGGGAGAAATATTGGCGGCGTTTAGCCCGTAATCAAGAAAGCAGCGAAGAAAGCTAAATGAACGAGGAACAAAATGAAAATTTTAATATTCTTAGTTCTTCGAAGTAAGCAATTATGCATCATATGCCAAACAATTGTAAGGTGAAATCCGTGTCCCAAAAAAGAATTTATATACTGAGTATTTCAACAATATTTTCTATAGAAATGAGCTACACCAATGCGATGTGCCTTTTGGTTTCAAGTTATTAAGAATGTTAAACATAGATCTAGACGTCCGTTCAAACAGGACGTTTTAAAGAAAAAGAAAAATTGAACTGCATTTAGATCTCAGTTCCAGAGAAAACGACAGAAGAAAATGCTAGCAGATGAAGCAAGACAAAACTAATTGTAAATGAAAGATGTCACTTAATGCAGTATCTTGACAGCGAGCAGATCGCTGCAATACTATGCATCCGGACAACCACATATTGGAAAATGTTTGTTGAAAACTATTTTGCGGTTATTTTTTAACGAATTCCCATTTGAAATATTTGTGAAAATCAGAGCCGATTTTTCCTCATTTAATTTAAACCAGCGATTATCTCGTAAAGATTTTTGCTGCTGTTTCTAGAATGTCAATAGCAACTATTAACTAGTCAACTATGACTCCACATTAGACTGCACCAAAAATTTTTTTTTCGACATATTCAAACTCCCCGATCGGTTTTCGAAAATTGGCCTAAAAAAATAGGTTTGGCATAGACTGCTCCAAAAAAAAAAGATGGTCGAGGAAAAAAAGTGTCATCCAGTTTCGAAAAATATACCTCAAAAAAATAGGTTTGGTCCAAAAAAATCATATGGGTACCATATAAAAACCCATAGCAAGCCCCGTATGAAATTTTTCATGACAGCGATTTCGGAAGCCATTTTAGATCGCAACATTTCGACTGATTCCATTATTCTAGCCCAATTTTGGCAAAAACTGATGATGAGGTTTTGTTTGGCTCGTCAATATCTACAACTTTTACCAAGACATCAGCTCTTGAAAAGGCATTCTGGGCCAGTTACAGTGTAAAATGACCGAAAAAATGACAATTTTTCGGCATTTTTCACATTTTTTGCTCTACTGGTCACCCAGGTGGTGGACTTTTGTTCAGTTTTGGACTTGTGTGGTGTAGCCAGAACCTGTACAAACATTTTGGTACTTGTCAGACTGCGATTTGGGTGGAATTTGGCGACAATTGATTCACACATATAAGACAAATTTCAAGCCGAAATGAGCAAATCACGAATACGAGCTTCGGTTTGACAGGTAAAAGCAAATGATTTCTACATTTTCTGCCTTTAAACATCTAGTATGGTCCTTTACGAACAATTTGGGTACTTACATGACCAAATCGAGTGATGTTTTCACATATTGCTGGCCGCATATTCGATTTCAACTCCCAAAACATCGACTTTTGACCAAAAAAATCCTTAAGTATAGGCTCTTTTGGGATGGTGTCTTGGTGCAATGTTATTTTTTCTCGAAAAAAAGAGGAGGCTACCCAGACAAAAACTCTCAAAATTGACTTTTTAAGGTACCTCCCGAACAAAATATACGTTTTTCATGGATTTTACTATGAAAATATCAATTTTTGTTCGGAAGGTACCCCAAAAATACACTTTTAGGATAATTTTCCTAGTACAAAGTTATTTTTTTCGAGAAATATTGGGAATCCACTCACACAGAAGCTCTTATAAATGATTTTTCAGCTTCATGACGATGAAACAAGACTCTCAGTCAATTTTGAGCGATATCTCGTGGAGGCAAATTGAGTTATTATCAAAAATGTCACCTAGCACGGAAAAAACTCGAAAAGTGATGACCAATAAAAGACAAAAAATGTTAGTAACAAGGGAGTTGACCTGTTCAGCCCAAGTCTTCAGAAAATCAACATATTGAGAATCCCTACTCCCAAATCAAAGAGAATGTGATTTTCTACCGATTTAGACACTTGCATTACCTCCTATCACCCATATGGTCGACCAATGTCACCTAGCATGAAAACAAAATAATGACTTTTCTGATCACATATGGCGCTGTAACTCCTTTCACAGATAGAAAACCATTCTGAAAATTTAATGCCAGCCCTCACAAATGTTGAGCTCATCTCACAGCATAGGCTTTCAAAATCAAACATCAATGAAATGTTCAAAAAGAATTCGCAGTTGATCGAAGTCATTATTGGATACAACAATCACGTATTCAAGTCTGCTGAAGATTTCAGTAAAAATTATTCATTTTGACTTGTTGTGCGTTAACGCTTTGAAAATTCTTGATTCAACACAATTTTATGATTCTTAAAGCAAAAACTAAAGAAGTTATTGAAAAAATTGGGATTTTAGATTATTTTGTCATTTAAAAAAAAATATTTTAGACGAATTTTTTAAAAAAAAGGGACCATTTCCTTTAGACGAAATTGTCATTTTTTTAGACGATTTTGTTTTATTTTTAGACGTTTTTGTAACCAGCCATTATTTTTTCATGAAATTCATGTTCTGTTTTACGCAGTCTAAACTCCAACAGTTGACGTTCTTTTAAGAAAAAATTGGTTTTGGAATTTCAGATTTTATCATCTTTTACCATACTCATACCTTCAATTCATAGATTCAAACTGAATGAAGAATGAATATGTTGTTTCTCAGAGAAAAAAAAACGAAAATTAAAATCAGAAATTGAATCAAACATTTTGAGAAATTCACACTCCTTAGGAAAATTATTCACAGAAATTCACTCCGACACACCCTATAGGAGTTCGAAAATTGATCGTTTTCCAAAACTTTATTGAACACTTTTCCAGGAATTTTCTTAAAAATACCCGTGTGGAAAATTTTCTGACTGAGTTGCCAGTCGAGCCTTATTCTTTGGAGGTCTTTTGGCTGTCTATTGATTGGCTAAAATTGATTTTCTCGAACAAAATAGACAACTCAGTTGTCACAACTGTAGTCAACTTTAGTTATAAATCACTTTTACTCATTTTCTAGTCAAAATGTCCCGAAATAGACGACTGGCTGAAAGAATAACTAAACGTGATTATCTCCATACAAAATAGTTTATTTCAATAAAATTAGCCAGTTTCAGCTACATACAGCTACACCAAATACATGTACTAAGCTCTTTTACGTAGTCTAAACTCCAACATTCGACATTCTTTTTTTTTTTTAAAAGAGTTTCGCAAGTTTCACATTTTATCATGGAATATATGTTCTTGATGGGACAAAGGTATTAGTCATAACATTTTGTTTCAATATTAAAATTCACAAATTTTTTCATACAAGCATTGAAATAACATTTTTTCTCAATTAAATTTCATGATTTTTGATGAGCTATGGCGGTTACATCAGTCAATTATTAAACATTTCAATACAGAATTTGGATTGGAGAGGAAATTCAATGCTTACTGTGCAATCATTATACATCGGAAGGAGTTTGCACAATCAATTGATCATATGATGACATTGTAAAGTTTATAGGATAATGAATTGGATTGTCCGATTGAAGAACTTCAATTCAAAGTTTGCAGCAGGTGATCGCTTCAGTTTTTCTATCCATTCCAAAATGTTTATTCCTAAAAATCATTTTACAACTCTTTTCAATCGAATAAAAATACTCAGAACTTATCACTTATTTACCATTTACTGAACTACTAGATATTTTGACGTTTGACTACTGGCAAACCGATGCAGAACGCAAGGAAGTCAAGTTCTAGGGAGAGATTCGATCAAAATGTAGATCTATTCAAAAGATGTCTTGTAATAATGTGGCGATTTTGCTTGAAAATGCACTAGTTTACATCGAAAAGTTTGTAATTTTTATGGACAAATTAAGAAATCAATTACGTTAGTTGAATTAGTGGATTCAAATTTTAATCAAGGATTTACATGCGACATATAATACTTTATAATGAACAAATAGAAACAATTTCGAAATTGTTAATGGAATCAATAACAATAAAAAGGTAAATCTCAACAATGGCGATAATGAAACGTTCATATGATATCGAATCAAATTGTCACAAATTATTTATACAAAAATCACTAGATCGTGTTAATACTATACTATTGAGGTGCATGTCCGCAAATGGAATAAACAAAGTAGATATGGTATTCTTTCCGGTAAAATTTTCAACATTGAATCCTACTGGACTGCAATTTTATTGAAATTTGACAATTTTCTTCATTTTGAGTTAGTATAGAATCGGCTCATCGTATTGGAGTTTCCCTTGAACAAAACGGATGTGTCCACTTCTAACTAGTCGATTAACGTCTGCTTCACGAATGTACACCACATGGAATTCATTTTGTGATGTCAATGAATTTTCGCGATCGATTTTCTTGTTTGCTCGTTGAGGTGATGAATGTAGTGTCCAATTGTTGTTATTCTTGTCAGCCATACATGGAACATATGACGGTACCAACGTCGAATCTGCGTTGACCACCACTCGGGTTGACCGTTTGTTTGGTTCTGTAAATGAAAATTTGAAACGATTTATCAGATGATTTGCATGGAAAATTCAATGATAAATGAACGAGATGTTTTTTAGGAGAACTGGGGCATTTAATTTTAAAATAAGCTGAAATGACAAAAAAGCCTTTGTTTTCGTTCGGACATTTTAGAGAAAAAAACATTTCTTAATCGAAGATCTATGCAGTCTCGATTCATGGCCAGATTTTCCGTTGAAATTCGTTGTTTCTCTCTTTTTTTCATATTTTTTCAACAAAATCTCTCCGAACTTTTACGAAAAACGAAAATTTCGCTCATTTTCGTAGTTTTTCAATAAATTTCAATTTAATTCAACTTTACTTACCCTTTGAATTGTGAATATCTCGTAACTCAATCGCTACCTGCGCGATTCGTGCTTGGGTCGAATTAACCTTGGTATCTGTACTTTGAGCAAAAACTTCGGATGTAGTAAGCTGATTTGGCCTATAAATTGATTTTGCTGGATTCTCACGAATGATTTCCTTGTTGGCTCGTTGAGGTGGTGAACGTAACGTCCAGTTGTTGCTATTATTTACATCCGCCAAATGTGACGGTACCAATGTCAAATCTGCATCGATCTCGCTCTGTGATGACGGTAATTTTGGATCTGTAATCGAGAAGTTGATGAGTTTTATCAGGAAATTTGAATAAAAATAAGAAAAATCCGTGAAATGAAAAGAATAAAGTACTTTTTGTTGGGGATTTTTGACAAAAAAGTTTTTTGTTGAATGGCAATTCATTCTGTTGGAGGCGGATTTTCTCGCTTTTTTACACACATTTCCAAAAATACAAAACTTTCCCCAATTTCGCCATTCCTTACTGTCTCATTATATTTTGATTCAATTCGACTGTACTCACCTTCCGAAACCGGCATGTTCCATAGTACATTCGCTGCTTCCGCGATGTGTCTACAGGTGGTCGATGCTTCGGTCGAATTAAATGCAATTATTGTGCTTTCGGCTGTTGGTTGGATGGCTTCATTGAAAACATCAGACGTTAGATCTGCATATGGTGTCGACGTTTCATTTGGCTTTGATCTGGCACTGCCAGTGGTTTTGTCCAAGTCCACCCGGCTCGTAGCATGGAGCACAATAGATACGTCGCTTGGTGTTGGTTCAATTGGTTCGGTACAATCGACATCCAATGTTCCTTTGGCAACGTCTTCCAAACACGATTGATATTGACTGTCGTCAATTATAATGCAATCGGCTGCGTCGCTTACCGATGGGGCCTCGTCTGTATCAGCAGCTGAATCAGGAGCATTTTCTTCTGGTACATTTTGTGGTATTTTGCGCAGAGCATAAATACGTGAACTTCGTAAAGTATGGTCAAAAATCCTACTATAGACATAAGTGCTGTTCGGATGCCTGAGTGAGAAATCGTATTCAATTTATTAGTCAAAATCATTTCAAAAAGAATCCAGAACAAAAAGTTTATACGACTATCACCAAATTTGATGAGATAATTTCAAATCATACGCAAAAAATAAAAATTGAATTGGGAAATAAATATACCTTGTCATCACACTATCGAACACTTGTCTGGGGCTTAAAAGGCTATCAACGTTTCTCATTATTCGTTTCATTTCATTTAACGCACAGAAATTGGCATACATTTCAGTTTGGTTCGGATGATCATGCAATTCAGTTCCGGAAATGAAGCATCTCCCGTCACGAATGTGGACTTTACAACGGCATGTATTCACATAGCACATGTATATTACATAATCGGGTTTTGCCCATTTCCGTCTATAAAATTGTTGTTCTTCTTTTACATACAACAAATTCGAACTATACTTGAAACCAGTCATAAATTCATAAGTGACTTCACGATTAGCTACACGGGGACAACCACTCTGAGTTGCACCACCACTTCTGCCTCTGTATACGGAAACTAGGCGCCTTGCCATAATTTTGTCGATATCATTCGATTTTCTAGTCAAATCAACGTTCACCTGAACGCTCAATGCGCAGTCGGTTCAGTTTCTGCTCCGATGGGCTATAAATAGAATGCGAAGAACAACAAATATCTCGTTAGTGCAAGTGAGTTGAGGTTAGGTTATTATTCAAAACAAAATGTTCATTGTGCAATTGTTTGCAACGCCAAAGTCAGTTCAATTTAATCTGTTTGCTGTGGTTTTCTCTCAGAAATTCTGTTAGAATTATCCAAAAACCCTCTAAAAACCTTACCATCCGCACCAAAGAGAAAAAGCGGTCTTCCATTGTGTTGTTGTCAATGATGTTTGTACAAACCTTTGAGAAAATGTTCAATTGAAATCCAAAAGTACACCAAATCCGCACTGAAATCGATGATTTGCCTCGATGAATGTGCTCCGAACTGAATTGCAATTGAATATCACACCTTTCCTTCTGGAATTACAGAATAAATATTCGATTTTCTGTACAAATTTCATACAGACGCTACAAAATTGCGCAGGACGACACAAATAACATTGAATGAACTGAACATTGCGTTGCTGTCATAACGCCGGTATATTAGAAATGTCAACCGGTGCTGCCATCATTCTGACTGTCTCAAACAATTGAACGAACGAGTTGAGTCTCCATATCCATACAAATTGAATTTCGAATTTATTTCGTCAAATAAAAATGAAAACCAATGTTGGAATATTATTTTTGCGATTCAATTTTTAATTCACATTTTTATTGATTACAATTGTTTTAAAGGGATTTTCTTCTAGAAAATCGGTTCAAATTTTTGAATGAGCTTTACATTTTTGGCTGATTTCATTGTTCGAAATTTTCAGTAGGATTTTTTCAATTTTTTTTTTTGGAAAATTCCCTTGTCAATGTTTTTCATTTTGAATTAGCACAGAATTGGCTCGTCGTATTGGAGTTTCCCTTGAACAAAACGAATGTGTCCACTTCTAACTAGTCGATTAACGTCTGCTTCACGAATGTACACCACATGGAATTCATTTTGTGATGTCGATGCAATTTCGCGACCGTTTTTCTTGTTTGCTCGTTGAGGTGATGAATGTAGTGTCCAATTGTTCTTATTCTTTTCAGCCATACATGGAACATATGACGGTACCAACGTCGAATCTGCGTCGACCACCACTCGGGTTGACCGTTTGTTTGGTTCTGTAAATGAAAATTTGAAACGATTTATCAGATGATTTGCATGGAAATAGATTTAATGATAAATGAATGAAATGTTTTTATTGGAGAACTGGGGCATTTAATTTAAAAAAAAAGCTAAACTGAAAAAAAGCCTTTGTTTTTGCTTAGAAACGTTAGAAAAAAAACATGTTTCAATCGAAGATCAATGCAGTCTCGATTCGTGGCCAGGTTTCCCGTTGAAATTCGTTGTTTTTGTCTTTTTGTTAATATTTTTAAGGCAAACTCTCTTTGGAACTTTCACGAAAAACCAAAGTTTCGCCCATTTTCGTAGTTTCTCAATCAATTTCAATAAATTTCAATTCAATTTGACCCTCTACTGCGTCATTTTTCTACAGAGCTGAGGAGCTCACTTTAAGCTGATTTTGGGGCGTAGATTACGAAAAAAAATAATTATATTATTAAAATGCTAAATTCCTCATAGTTAACTAGAAAAATGCTATTGATAAATATTCGAGAAAAATCAAAACCATTGTTTTAAAGTATCAAAAATGTGTCTAATTTTGAAAGAAAATAATTAATTTTGTCAAATTTTGTTTTTCGCGCAAATTCTTGTTGATAACTAATGAACCGCTTGACGTAGACTTAAAGTGTAAGACAGAAAGATGAAGAAGATACGTTTACGGATAAAAATGTATTTGTAAACATTGTGATCTGACGTATCGTTTACGGTATATAGCCTCTTTTCTATTGCCCGTCTAAAGGCGGTCTTGCGAACTAGAAGGTTAACTTTACTTACTCTTTGAAATGTGCATATTTCGTAACTCAATTGCTGCCTGCGCGATACGTTCTTGGGTCGAATTGACCTTGTTCTCTGTACTTTGAGCAAAAGCGTCAAATGTAGTAAGCCGCTCTGACCTGTCATTTGATGTCGCTGAGTCTACACGAACGTTTTCTTTGTTGGCTCGTTGAGGGGGTGAACGTAACGTCCAGTTGTTGCCATTATTCCCTACCGTCAGCTGCAAATGTGATGGTACCAATGTCGAATCTGCATTGATGTCACTTTGTGATGACGGTTTATTTGGATCTGTAATCGAGAAGTTGATGAGTTTTATCAGAATTTTAGTTTTGTTGAGGGGGTTTCCATGAATTGAAATGAGTAAAGTACTTTTTGTTGTAGATTATCGGCAAAAAATGTTTTCATTTCGTTGAAAGGGTTTCTTTCTTTTTTACACACATTCTCCCAGAAATTTTTGTAACTAAAAGTTCCTCCCAATTCCTCCATTCCGCACTGTCACATTCCATTTTGATTCAATTCGACTGTACTCACCTTTCGAATTTTTCATGTCCCGTAGTACATTCGCTGCTTCCACGATAGGTGCACAGGTAGTCGATGCTTGGGTCGAATTAAATGCAATATTTTTACTTTCAGCTAGGGGTTGAACGGCTTCATTGAAAACATCAGACGTTAGATCTACACATGGTGTCGATGTTTCTTTTGGCTTCGCCCTGGTGCTGACTGTAGTTTTGTCCAAGTCCACTCGGTTCGTAGCATGGAACTCAATTGATTTGTCGCTTGGTGTCGGTTCAATTGGTTCGATACAATCGACATCCAATGTTCCTTTGGTAACGTCTTCCAAACACGATTGATATTGACTATCGTCAATTATAATGCAATCGGCTGCATTGCTTACCAATGTGACCTCGGCTGTATCAGCAGCTGAATCAGGAGTAGTTTCTTCTGGTAAGTTTTGTGGTATTTTGCGCAGAGCATAATAACGTGAATGGCATAAACTTTGTCCAAAAATCTTGCTATAGACATAAGTGCTCTTCGGATGCCTGAGTGAGAAATTGTATTACATTTAGTCAAAATTATTTCAAGAAACATAAAGAACAAAATGTTTATACGATTATCACCAAATTTGATCAAGTTATTTCAAGTTATACACCAAAAATGAAAACTGAATTGGGAAATAAATATACCTTTTCATCACACTATCGAACACTTGTTTCGGCATTAAATGGTTGTTGACGCTTCGCATAATCCGTTTCATTTCATTTAATGCACATAAATTGACATACATTTCGGCTTGATTGGGATGATTATGCAATCTAGATCCAGCAACAAAGCATTTTCCGTCACGAATGTGCATTTTACAATGACATCCCCTCACATAGCACGTGTAATATAAACAAATCGTTCCTTTTGCTACTCCATTCCGTCTATAAAATTGTTGTTCTTCTTTTACATACAACAAATTCGAATTATAATTGAAACCAGTCATAAATTCATAAGTGACTTCACGTTTAGCTACACGGGGACAACCACTCTGAGTTGCACCACCATTTATGCCTCTTTTCACGGAAACTAGGCGCCTTGCCATAATTCTGTCGATATCACTCGATTTTTTAGCCGAATCAAAGTTCACATGAACGCTCAATGCGCAGTCGGTTCAGTTTGTGCTCCGATGGGCTATAAATAGAATGCGAAGAACAACAAATATCTCCTTAGTGCAATTGAGTTGAGGTTAGGTTATTAATCGAAACAAAATGTTCATTGTGCAATTGTTTGCAACACCAAAGTCAGTTCAATTTAATCTATTTGCCATTTTTTCTCTCAGAAATTCAGTTGGAATTATCCCAAAACTCTTTTAAAAAAACTTAAAATCTGCACCAAAGAGAAAAATCGGACTTCCACTGTGTTGTTTCCAACGATGTTTATACAAACCTTTGAGAAAATGTTCAATTGTAATCCAAAAGAGCTCCAAATCACCATTGAATTTGGTGATTCGCCTCGATGAATGTGCTCTGAACTGAATTGCAATTGAATATCACACGTTTTCTTCTGGAATTACAGAATAAATATTCGATTTTCTGTACAAATTTCACACAGACGCTACAAAATTGCGCAGGACGACACAAATAACATTGAATGAACTGAACATTGCGTTGCTGTCATAACGCCGGTATATTAGAAACGTCAACAGGTGCTGCCATCATTCTGACTGTCCCAAACAACCGAACGAACGAGTTGAGTCTCCACACAATTTGAATTTTGAATTGATTTCGTTAAAAAAAATGAAAACCAAGGTTGGAATATAATTTTTGCGATTCATTTCTTTAATTCACATTTTTATTCATTACAATTCTTTTGAAGAGATTTTCTTTTAAAAAATCGGTCTACATTTTTGAATGAGCCATACCATTCAATTTTGACTGATTTGATTGTTTGACATTTTCAGTAGAATGATTTCCGATTTCGGAAAATTTTTTAGAGTAAATTTTCAAATGGAATCACTTTTTTGTGTCTAAACCTAAAAAAAATTGAAAAGGAAGTGAAAAATATATGAAAACATTGGTTTAAAAGAAGCGTAAATTTGAAATAGGTCCCTTAATTGTATGTGTTTTGTTATTTGTCCTTATTTTAACTTTGATTCAATTTCCAATTCAGTTTTATATGTTTTTCAATTATGTTCTGAGGCTGCCGAGCAATAAGTTTCGATCTAAGCCACAGTTGTTGAATTTTACCTTATGCTAGTTTGAATCAGTTGTCGAATCCGAAAGTCATCACTTTGGTTCTTCAAATGTTGCGTTCAACTTTGACGCATCCATCATCGATGGTGGCTTGCCATTTGTTGTCAAGACGGATTTTCAGGTTGTCAAAAAGAAGTGAATTTTCGACGGAAAAGCTGTATTTCAGCAAATTGAAGTTATTCAACAGCTCACACAAGTCGTCGATTGAAAAATAGACACCAAAAAAGTTGAGCTCGCTCAACAGCGGCAACGTTTGCACAATATCAGTCAAAAGGCCTTCATTGATGTTTGGGGTTTCTGTGCTGTCAATCGATGATCGTAGCGTCAATGTCACGATAGATTGATGTTGCTTGAGAAATGTGAACAGTCCACTGTCACAGTTGTATTTGGCCAAATCTAGTGTAATTTCTTCAAGTCGATCGAATGACAATTTAATGTTGGACACCGTTTGTTGCTCCATTCCACCAATGAAGCCAATTTCCAACTTCTTCACGCCCTTGAAGTTGATCACGTTGTCCCGAAATGCGCAAAAATCTTTCGGATAGCCGCGAAACTTGACGTCGACCAATTGTGGCAATAGTTTGCTGACGTAACGAAAGAATTCGGGCGAATAGGCTCGATCCAGAGCAAAACTGGTCAATTGTTTATTCAAACGAATAGCATCTCGGATGAATTTGGTTTGAAGCATACCACCGCCAACAATGCCCAAATGTTCCAAATGAGGGAAATGCATTGCGATCGCCGTACAGTCAACGAAATGATTGCTTGTCAATTCCAAGCGGCGCATCGCCGGAAACCATGCATTGAAATTTGTCATGTTTACGCCCAATTTGCATCGCAATATTTCGACGTTTTCAACCTTGGCAAATGGCTTTGTGATCACTGAATCAAATACACCGTCGGAAATGTAGTGCAATGACAGTTTGGTCAACGTTTCAGCACAGAATTCTTTTGCATATCGAAGCACAAGGTTGAGATCACGCGAAGGATTCGGATTTATTGCGTGGAATGTGTCGATGTGCAATTTGGACATCAAGTGACCGAAACAGCGTAACAATCGCAACGATGTTTTTAACTTGAACACTTCGAAAGTATGCTCGGTGACGTCGCTGATACGACGCGAATTTGCAACGTGCAAGCGAAATTTCTTTTTGCCAGCTTTGCCCATGAACGCCATATCAGCAGCTGGCTTTAATTGCTTGTTTGTATGAGCAACTCGGATTAGATCGTCATAATCCAGATACAGGAAAATATGCTCAAGGCAATCGTCAATGAGATCCGTGAGCTTTATTTGATTCACGCCGACACTGCCAGTGACATTCGATGACATTTTGAACTGGCCGATCTGGTGGAAGTAGAAGAAACGATCAGAATGAATTAAAAAATAGACTTTTTGGCCTTTCAATCCAATGATTTTTTGATGAAAAGTCATGAAAGCACATAACAAATCATGTAAAAAAATCCAAACGCTCACAAAAGTCATATCAATTTTAAGACTACACAACTATGTTCATTGATTCGACTGACACTTTGCTTGTGAATATAAGAAAAATTCTCTCAAATTTGGTTATTCTAAGAATTGTTCATAAAATGGTGTCACTTTTTAGATTTTTGCTCTGGAAAATTCTTTAACAAAATATTTTTTCCGAATCAAAATTAAGTATTTCTAATGTGAGTCAATTTTACTACGCAATTTAGTTGTTTCATGATGAAAAAATGGGGCCGATGGAGGTTGAAAAATGAATAAAAAGTACCCACCTTTTTTCCTGATGTCCAGAAAAATCGAAAAATATCCAATTATACTCAACGAATCGACAATTTTTTCTTGATGTCCAAGAAATGATGCTTTATTTTGTTGAAATACAATGTCTCCAGAAGAAAATGCTACCTTTGTATGGATTTAGTTGCCAAAAAGACGATTAAATGCGCAATTCAATTGGTTAGAAATGGCGGACTGTACAATGAAAAGTGAGATTTTTTGTCGTTTGCGAGCAACTTTATGGAATGATGCTGTATCGGCATTTTGTATACACACACACACCAACACGTATGTCGATGGTTAAACGACGACAGCTCACTTGACACGGACAGCTTGACAGCCACCGACTCTCTGAGTTTCGAAATTTAATCGAATATATTCAACGGAATTTCAGTTGAATTAAATTTAATGAGATAATGTCACGATTCATTAATGCACCTCATGAATATTTCTCAAAAGCATCATTCTTTATTGATAAATAGAAATTATAAATTTCAATAGTTTTTCCAGATTCAATATTTCTCGCATTTTATTCCGAAATCTCCTAAACCATCGAATGTTTCGCTCGATTTAGATATTCACCTACGGTTTTGAATGTGTCGATGTATAATTAAAATTTTTTTTTCAGAATTATACCTTTGAAATATTTACGAAGACCTCAATCGACTTTCAAGAAAATAACACACCAAATTCATAGGGAGATATAGGGAAGTTTTGCTTAAGAATCAATTCAATAAAGTCCTGTATAAAGGATTGAACAAAAACAGATTACTTACAGTATTTGAATCAAATGATTTCAGCGTGTTTGATGGGATGTAAATGGGAAATGAAACAATGATGGACGACTTACGATGATTTAAAAGAAGTCACTTTATTTTCATATTTACATTTTTGTTTCTGATGACTTGATTTTATAGAAAGTTTCTATTAGAAATTGAACGCATTTTTTTTTGTCTTTACCAATACAACAAGAAAGACAATACTAGACTTCAGATTAAGAATTTGCTGAAGCAATTTTTACGTGAGAATAACAACATCGATTGAAGTTGTAGCTAAACAATTGCAGCCGTTTGAAATAGTTTTTCTGCTGGCCAAGCTATCATTAAAATCTTTTTTAAGGAATTCCTCTTCCGATGATAGATGCTCGATTGTCGAATCTTGTTTGTATGATAATTATGTGGCGGTATCACATCTTTTCGGTACACAGAAGACTCACTTGGCATATCAATATTGGCTGTAATCACTATTATTTATTATTATTTTGGAATTCTCAAGCAACAGCATACAGTCATCAGTGAAACGGTGAGCGGATTGAATGTAGATGGTCCAGCCATTGAGTCTTGTGAATGCAAAATATGCCATCGAACAAGGCTTCAATGTAATCGTTTATGAACAAGGTGAGGAGCTTGGAGGCCAATGGGTCTACACTGTACTGTACGCAGACAAAGTTGGCAAAGATAAATATGGCAACAATATTCACTCCGCCATCCCATACGGGTTTTAAAGTCCAGGCAAGTTCAGAAGAAAAGCGATTCTTGCAGAAAAAGTACAAGAAAAATAAGAAAAAGGCAAGTAAAAACTGATTTTTTTTGTTATTTTATCGATGTATGTATTTTAATAATCAATAGATAATAGTTGTTTGGGAAATATTTCCGAAACGATACAGTATTTGTATGTGTTTGTATTTTTTTTGTTTTTTCATGAATATGATGGTAACCGAATCTGGTCAGTGGCCACAAGCCATATACATTTACGTATTATGCCTATCTAATTCCATTGCGGTAAACACTTTTTCCTCGGTAAATTTTTGATATAAAAAGAATTTTGTCTTATTTGAAGAAAGAAATAATAAAACTAATAGCTTATGGTAATACCATTGGTATACGGACATTGTGGATATATATATGCGAAAACATGGAATGGGTGATATTTTTCTGGGTCACAGATCTTTAGCTGTAGAACAAATCACTCTTGGCCGATTCAAAGCGTTTGATTTCGATGAAACTGCGACTGACACCGCCTGCAAACTTTTTCGCCAAAAATACGTCCTCCGGAACATAAATGATCACTTTTGACGCTGCAGCCAATTTTGCACGTTCCTTGTTCAGTGACGTGAGATCGAGAATTGTTTCAACATCTTCGATTGTGCTCTTTATACGAATTTGCTTCAAATCCTTTGACCAACGAATGAAAGCACGAATCACATCCATAGTAGTGTCAAGTAATATATCGATCCTTTGTAGCATTGGTAGTTTGGATGGGAGTGTGGTCAAATCAAAGTCATTAAAATCACCAATCACAATCGTCTTCAAATTCTGCATTAATGGCCAAATAACATCCGTTTCTATGTTGGCGATGAGAAGCCCGTCCAGTGCACGCAATGAAGCGAATGAATCAATCGATTGTTGCCTGCCACCAGCAAAATCCATTTGAAGCAAATGCAATCGTTTGTAGAAGCCACGATCGTGCAGCTCGTTCAAAATACTGCCAAATGTTTCATCTACTTCATCATCCCTCAAACTAATGATCAAAGTATCCAGTTTGGCGTTAGACTGTAGAAATCCGTTTTTATTGGCGTATAGGATTCGCCAGTCTATCGAGATGCTTTGAATGTTTGGGATTTGTTCAAAGAATCTTTCCATTCCTTTGAATCGTCCTTCAATCGGCGGAAAATTGATGTGCTCAAGCTTGGGACACTTGTTGAGTTTAAACAACAAATAGGCGTTGCAGCTCCAATTAACGATGAGGCGCTTCAAATTCGGAGATAATTCCAGATCTTTTTCCTTAAGTTCCCCAACAATAATTTGTATGTTTTCGACTTTAGCCAAAACTTCACTAATCATATCGAATTTCAAACCTTTATCAAGGAACTTAAAGTTAATTGCCTTCAATGATTTGCATTTTCCAATGTAGGCCAATAGATTGCTGTCATACGTTTCAATTGAAATATCGTCGATGAATTCCATGAAACCATCCAATCGAGTGGAATCGTAATAAATGCCGTCAGATCGAAATTCGGTCTTTGCACCCGGATAATTTTGTCGGAAATAGATGCCGGCAATTCGATGCATGCGTTTGCATGTTTGACCAAATGAATGAAGATCTTTGATTGACAACCACTCGAACAACTCTTCGCAGCAGTCAACATCAAGCTTGAAAATGTCGGGTGGATTTTCTTGGATTTGCAGCACAGCAGCAGCAGCAGCAACCATTTGATCATCGGTTTTTTCGGCATCACACGTTGGTGTTGGACTTGTGGATTTCTCGTTTTTACTTGGTGCTTCGTCGCTCATTTTTCTGTTTCAATTTAATGTGACCTTTGCTTTGTGGACACCTAAATGATTTAAACGAGTTTGGAAAAATGATTAAATCTCTTGTGAGTGTCAAATTGTGTTGATTTTGCTTACTTTTATTATATCTACACAAATAAATCGACCAAATTTGTTTATATTTCTATATTTTGACTTAATTTGTTCACAAATTTCTACGAGAAAATAAGAACTAGTTTATGTCCACTTTTCAAAAATGGCGACCAATGTACGATTGCGTGATTTTTGGTCACCTCATTGGTAAATCAACAAGAAATATTCCGATAAATATTTTGAAATAGTAGCTTACTTTCAACTGTTTTCTTGTCTCTCTCAAAATCTTCTTGGGTTAAGTTGAATTCGGCAAAAAAAAACTGATTTTTTTTCTGGATAATTATCAATTATATTTGACGCAATTCGTGCTTTATGATGGTGCAGCTTTGCACGAAAATGATGTAAAATTATGTGCCGGTTGCGAAATTATGTGTGCTAAATTTCATGCGGTCGCTTTGAGAGTTGTCGTTGTCATCGTTGCCGCAACCCTATCGAAATCACCTCTGTATAACAATAGTAAATGTATCCGTAGGGAGCTCTGACTATATGTAAACGATTGATAAATAATAAATTACGTTCTAAAATGAAAATTGATTTTTAAACATTTTGTGAATTCTCTCGAGCCGTTTCTTGTTGAGAACATTTTGTTTTTATTTTTCGATCTAGAAATTCGACGTATATGAACTCGCTACGTAGTGAAATGTTTTGAGAAATAAAAGATTGAACCAATATTTATAGTTGAAAGGTTTGCAGACTTCATCTAAACCTTACAGCCGACATTTCTGAGTCGCCAGATTTAAATTTCTTCCGCATAACAGTTGAGATTCATTCAATTTAATTGAATTATCGTCAAATAAATGAAATTTTCAAGGAATAATTGATCAATTTTGTTTGTTTATAGCCCATAAAATGCGTTGTAAAATTTCTCAATACGGAAAATAAAAACAAAATCGGACTGAAAAGAAAACATTACTAAAACTAATGAAATGTTGGCATTTTGAAGAGCTAATACTTACGAATACAAGATTTCCCAATATTTGGTTTGGTTAGATTAGTATCAGAACCGTAATGAAAGTAAATTTTCCATTCTCTCAAAAGTCAAAAACATTATAATTTGTTTAAGTCCACAGTTCATGGAACTCATTCAAACTTGTTGATATCGGTAGCTCTTTCTTCTGCTGCTTTCATCACTTTTATCGATTGATCGCGTCATTTGGTCTTGAGAAGCAGTGGGCTTTTCCATGCAAATCATTTCGTCATATGTCAACACAAGCCGCTGCTTGTTTTGTGTTATATTTTCGAATGTTTGCTCTTCACTTAATGCGCGCGTTTGCACGATTGCGACAGCGACCTTGTACATTGGAGACTAATAAATGGAAGTAAACAAAGTCTCAACATTACCGAGAATCTCATACAATATTATGTTGGCATTGTGTTCTGTCAATCGACTCATCGATTCTAACATGGGTATTTTATGGTATAAGGCAAATTATAAATTATAAGGCACTAAACTATGTGCTTAGCGGAAATCGCTTCTTGAACAACCATTCGGAAATCAGTATATGCTTATGCCGGTTAATCATGCAGAACGATCGACGATGACGCATTGATTGCGACGCATTAGATTGGGTTCAAAAACACGTTCAATTTATTTTCGACGAACAGATAATCTTCGGTTTTTTGGTTTTTGATTCATTTAGGTCTTCGATTTCTTCGTCAATATTGAATGAATTTTGTTTGGACGAGAGTTCTATTTGAGATTTGGTACTGTTTTAAAATTAAAATAGGTGAATCCCTCCCAATACGTGATTTGTGCCATCAATAAATCACGTTGTAGCTCATTCAATTGTGAATTGTTACTCGAAATATTAGCGCTTACAAATTACTTGGTGGACGTAAGTACAATGCCACACAATGGCATAAAGCAAATTTATCTTTGTACTTTACACATTCAGCGATTACAGCACTCATTCGATTTGAATGAATGAGCGATCGTGTACGATTACGTCTTGATGCACCTTCATATGTCACATCGATAAATAAATGGAAATGATTTCGGAGACAGCATGAATAAATGGTCAATATTGTATTTCTACAAGTCATCCAACCTGTCGCGTATTTGGTCTCGTGCGTGTAAATCATACTTCAGTTTTGAAAATCAATACCAACGAAATGGAATGCAAACATAGTGACATAGCCATGGTCCAGTACAAAATGTAAATTAACACCGTCAAAGTGAGATTGTACGTGTAAGGTGTAACGTGTGTGTGTAAGCGCGAACTTATTCAAATGAATGAATGGATGTACTCAATGTTGGGAGGCGTATAAAAACCAGTGGAAGCCAATGCATGCTACATTGAACGTTACACAAGCAACGAAGTTGGTGAAAAAAGGTATGGTGCTCTTATCGTTTCTCGTGAAGTGTTTCATAAGTTTTGATTTGTGGTTTTTGCTTGATTCAACGTGAAGTTTTGTCCGATTACATGTTATTTGATTAGACTTCTAATCACTGCCTAGGCGAAAGTGTTATAATTGCAAAAGAACAAAAGAAATTGAAAAAAAATGAATGAAATCCAAGAAGTTTAGAAGAAAATCAAATCCAAGGCGAAATTTTAAAGAAATTTCACGTCTTAATTAATTTAGTCCAATGTAACGGAACAAATTTTTGTACTAATTCTTCTTCGAATTTATTTGTGTTCATTAAACGATGTTCAACTCGATAGAAATCGATGAAAATGTTCGATAATTACTAGTGGGAAAATAATTTTTAATAAAATGACTGAGAAGAAACATTTCAATTCATAAAATAGTTCAAATAAAGTACTAAAAAGGCATTTCTCAACTTTTTTTCAGTGTCGAACCGAAACACAGTCTAAAATTTCTTCGATTCAAATAAAATCAACGAACAAAAAATGTGGAGTATCAAAATTGTGACGATTGCATTGATTGCAATGATTGTATCTGCATCAGCCGCACCTCAGCCTCAGCCCCAGCCCCAGCCCCATAAATTCGGTTTCGGTGTGCCAGTAGCGGTCGAACCGATTGTTCCAGTTGCAGTGCATAGAATTGTACCCATTGTTCAACCAATTGTTCCAATTGTTCAACCTATCGTGCCTGTTGTTCCGGTTTATGGACGCTTTGGGTAAGATTTTTTATTTGAAATTTGAAGAAAATACGCGTTTTTGCACCATTTGATACTCAATTTCGTATTTTTCTTGCATACTTGATGTTTCAATGTGATATTTGATTTAATTTTTCGCTTATTTTTCAGTCACTTTGGAAAATTCCGAAAATTCCTATAATCATTCCACGGGGCTCAAATAGAGTTATTGTGTTCTCATAAGACGTGTTAATTTTAGTTCAAATTCAAGTTTTCCAATAAGTTGTTGTTCATTTTTTATATTTCTGGTATGAATAAATTCAGATGAATCTAATCGATTAATGAATTTTTATTTTGGTGGATGGTTTGAAATTTTGAACAGTGGATTCGACACCATAGGCTTAACAGAAAGTGAAAAAATGTGACCCCCCCCCAAGAGAAAAGAACCATTTAGAAAAGCAGAATGCGTTGAATTGCGGGGCGAATTAAACAGTCTTTGTTTCTACCTACCAAAACTATTTAGTGAATTTTTTCGTTATCAAAATAATCAAGTCCAGTACTGTGAATCGCTCCAATCTGATGCTATCTTACGCAAAATCAGACGTCATCATTAGCCAGATGAATTGTTGTCGTCGTGATCAACTGATTGTGACAATAAGTACAAACATCAACAAAATGTTGCAAGTAGTGTTTACATCTGCAAATAATTGCCGTATGGATGAGTAAATAGAGGCAAACCGGTTGATGTGTTACAATCAGACAAATTGTTTTTTCAAGCAAACGATCTGATTCATTTTACACATGATGACCGACTAATTAGAGCCACCGAAATGAGATTCATGTTCAAATCACTTGCGTAATTTGTAGTCTAAGCAATAGCAACGGTCCGGCACCAAGAGATACGCTAATTTATAGCACTTGTGCAAATGGGGAAAAACCAACGCAAAGTGTGATTTTCGACAAAAGTGTCAACAAAACACTGGCTTTCGTTTTAGTTATATTTGTTTTTAAACAAAATTTTATTTACATTTCTGGGCATTTAAAAAGAATGAAAGAAACACATGGAATTTTTAGAGGTACAAAATAAAACGGTTTTATTACGATAGGATAAATTGGTTTTGACAAATTTAAAGCATTTTTACCACTAAACTATCAAATCTACCCAAAAAGTCGCTTGTTCTGAGGCCTGAGACACTGAACTGAATTGAATTGAACTCAAATGCGACATTTTAGATAACTTTCATCATAATGATTCAATACCTTGATCAAAATGAACGAAACAGTCCCACGCATTCTCAATATTTTTGTCAAAATAATTCAATTTTGTTTGTTCGCACCCAACTGAGGTAGCAATGGCTATTTACTTGCAATTGTTTTAAAATTACACATAAAAAAGTTCTAGAAATATGTGGACATTTTTGTTTTGCGATTAAAAACACGTGTAAACATATTGAAGTACATAGACTGAGAGGTTCGAGAAATGTAAATAGAATCCAGATGCCTAAACATATTTAAAATACCTACATGAGTAAATGAAAAAAGAAAAAAAAGAAAAATAAAAAATACGAACAAGATAATACATTACACGCTTTGAACGATAATAAATAATCTGCCTGTCGATAAAGCGAAATAAATGGAAAATAAAAAGATGGATCGTACCACTAATCATGTGCTTTATTGTATAGAAATATTTATTGATAAATACTCAGAGAGAATGTTCAAATATTTAAATTTCAATTTTTATTGTAAAATACACCTTATCTTGATCAAAGTTTAAACATGTGCTGATATTTAATTAATTTGAATAGACATAAAATTAAACATTTTTGCTCGTTCAATAAAAAGTGAGACAGAAAGAGTTTTACTAGTCCAAAAAGTGATAGGATAAACTCTACTTTTAGATAAAAATTATTAAAATGATGGCCAACGATCTCTCATATCAAATGGAGCAGAAGCGTATCCGTTTGCGGCATTTTCAGATCGAAAATTTGTAGCTGAATTGAAAGGAATGGGCCTATTAAATGAAGTATCAGCGGCAGCACCAAAGTTGGATGAATCATCAGAAGTAGTAGTTTTATACGGTGCCGAAGGGTTTGGTGTATTGAATAAATTTCTGTTGTTTGAAGTGCTCGGATTGTATGAACCAAAATTGTCCTGGGCAGGCCATGAATCTTCTTGAGTTGGCCATGTGTTTGGATTATTTGGAGTTGGCCATGTATTGGGGTTGGGTTGAGTTGGCCATGGATTCATACTTCCCTGAGTCGATTCCTGAGCAGTATTATATGATGGATTGATTACTGGACTTTCAGGTACTGTTCTTTGTAGAAAACTAGGACGTTCACCATTTTTATCACTAAAGTTATCTTCTTTTTGGCCTTGGAATGAACTCGCTCCACTTTCAGCTTCAGAAGAAATGCCACTAGGCGGTGAAACGTTGCTAATAGGACCACTTCTAATGCCAGCACCCATCGTTTCACTAATCGGAACATTTTGAGATCCTATGCTCGTATCTTGTATGGGAACTTCGCTCCCATCAGACGAATTTATATTGGAATTGGATGAATCATTTTCTGCCTCCCTGTTACTCGGTTCGTTTGGTAAAAAACTGCTTGGAATTCCAAAACGAATAACGCCAGGTGGGTTTAAGCCCGTATAAATAATTGTGATTTCGCTAACAGGCGAATAAAATTGCGGCATATAACCAGAAAAACCGAATGCCATTCTGCTCAAATCCGCTAATTCAGATGCACTGGGTCGAACCATCGGGCTCATACTTGGATTGATGAAATAAAGCGGACCTTGTGGGATTGGTGCAGCAGTAATTACATTTAAAATACTTAGAACATAAACACTAAAATGCTTGAACGACATATTTGATGTGAGAATATTTAAAATGAAGAATTTAAAATAAACTGAGACGTCTACTTGGTTTGAAGCCCTTACAGCATATGCACAACAGTTGTAAAATTTTATTCCATCTTTTTCAGGCACTCTTCAGCTACGTGCATTTTTTTGCCGGAATATTTGTTTTTCTTGTCTAGAGTATTTTGTTTTTTTTTCACTGATCGAACATTTTACATTCAAATGTAAATATCAACAAATGTTCATGTTGGATTTACGTCAACTGCGAAGAGTTCTACAAGGGTTAAACAAATTTTAATTATTGAGTTCGTTTCTTCTGAGACACGTATTGAACATTTGGTTTGTTCGCAGACTACTCCCATGGACAAAACACGTGAAAAGTGCATTGGACTGGCATGAAAAAACCAAAAGGTGGGAAAAAGTCATTGAAGGTTACGAGTAGTCTTTACATGGCAACTGAATCGGGTTTTGGTGAATTTCTTCCATTATCACAAAGTCTGATTCACAATCAAATTGCTGAGTGAGAAGAAAGCACATCTGAAAATAGGATCAGTCGAAGTTGACGTAAGCGTGTCCTTATCACGAACACCAGTAAAACTTATATCAACTCGTTAAAGCTCGTAGCATGTTTACTAGTTATTTCATTTGATAGTTTTCAAAATTCATGTGTAAACCAATCCGTAAAACGTATCTTGCCCCTATTTTACTAATAATCTCAAATAGGTGCCCATAAATTGTTGATTGAATTTCGATCCGTATTTCTTTATATTGTCATCGAAGCAAGAAACATTCTTAGTGCTTGAATGGTATAAGGTGAATACAGGTACAAGGTAATTACTGCAATGAAAGAAATAATGATATCGATATTGAATTGACATGAAGGTCGTACTTAAATTTATCTGTTTAGATGCATCATTCATAGAAACATTTACGCAAGATAAACTAAATGTTAAAGCCTGAACCTGCGCTAAATCGGTACTTAGTTAAAAAGTAGCTTGAGTGAATATACAACACAAATTACAGATAAAAATTAAAATGTTTGACATTTATAGCTCAAAATAGGATAATTTACGAAATTTAGCGTCGTCCAAACGCTCGAAACATAATGTAATAAGATGAAGATGTTTTGCAGAGCTAGACGAATACACAGAAAAAGAAAGAGAAATCAATCAAAATTGAAAAAAGCTTCAAATAGCTAAATGATGAATGCTCACTTTAAAATGATGAAGGCTCAGTTAAATGTGAAGCGTAATAAAAAAGAAACGCCGGCCAGAACAATGCCGGCAAAAAATGATAGATATATCGAAAATTAGAATCAAGACCTTTGAATGTGCATGAGACTGAGAAGGAAAAAATAATCAGTTGAATTGTATGAAAATATTTAATGAATTTTAAAAAGCTTAAGGTATACAAACCATTTCCAAGTCGTACATTGAGGCCGCCAAAAGGATAGCGTTTGCTAGGATGAGTGCGAATATTGGTGCGCTGTTGATGTTTGTCAGCATGTGGAAAATCCTACTAAACGATTCGGATTCATTCATTCATTCTAATAGTAAACTGAATTGAAACAATGAGAAACTAGTTTACTAACTCGTAAATTCTGATTTGAAATTTCACCATATTGCACATTTGAGTGTGGATTTGTTGTTGAATTTTCTCGATTTTCCGAGGATTTTTCTCCGTTTGCATGCGTTCGACATTTTTTGTGACGCAATTGATCAACACGTTGAAATGGTCGGCCATCGCTTTGATATAGTAGCAACAGCTAACGAAGTATGACGTAAATGACGTCATGCAAAAAGCATAAGAGCATGCTATAAGAAAATGGGTAAACCACGTCAGAAGCCAACCTCCAACGCTGTTTGTATCAAAGGGAAGAACCATGTTGAAGAACAAGTGCCAGGATGAGGTGTCGTAGTGTCCATAGTTAGTCACAGATAATAATTAAACATAGAAACAGAATTGGTTTTGGAATTAAAAAATCCAAAGTTTTGGATCCCCATGGAGGAAAAAAAACAAAGTTAATACTTTTTACATTATGTACGTTTCATGTAACGGTAAGAATTGGGATATTTCAGGCGATTTTTTTAGGATGAAAATAGTATCATATGAATTTGTGATTTTTGAGAGTGTTTTAGATGATATTGTCACTTTGAATGAACATTGTACATGGACAGGGCCTGTCCCAGATAGGGCGCAAGTGGTGCGCCGCACCACGGCGCTGGGGCGCCGAAGGTGCGCGAGCGCTGAAATTTGAGCAAACTGGCGCTCAATTGCTTGAATTTTCCAAAAATACGTAGACAAAATTCAGGCGTCGAGAGCGCCGAATGCACCAAAAGCATTTGATCAGCTTATATATATATTGAAGTGCCACTTGCATTTAAAGCGCTTTTTACCAATTTAAAAATATTAAACAATAAGATTTCAGTATTTATTCAACCGACTACAAAATATATTCAGTTATTTTGAGCA